GGGGGGGGTGGGAGAGAGCATGAAGTCCATTTTATTCCTTTACACAGGGCTAGCGGATAGGGATCTTTTTATTTACTTCCCATGATTTAGCAGACAGACAGGCTCTACTGACAATCCTTGCGTGGATTCCTCTCGCCTTCCCAACCCAGTAACACTTAAAGATTGTCAAATGGTGAAACTATTGCTGCTTTAAATCCCCTTTCGCACACCATTAATTAGTTGTGAAATTGGAATCTACTGCCTGAAATTTTACTTTTTATAAAAGGGAATTAAACGGTTCATTCAGGAGCTGAACTAATGCATTCTCCAATTCTAAAGCTTTATTTCATGACCAGTTGTGTTATTTGAATCTTACTTCCAGATGAATTTACTGGGGCTACATTATAAAGTTGCTAATGGCCTGGAGAGGGTATGTCTTGATTAAATAACATCTTCCTCCACCATGCCATCTCCAATTTGCAAGGAAAGTCAATCGTACCTAATTTCCCAGACACAAGACCTGAATCCATTCACCTGTCACTACCTATTCCATAGGCCATTTTCAGACGTGCTTTTGCTGGAATGACGCCAGAGGCCACGGTATCGATGTTCATCGGTACAGATCCACTAGTGTGGATGCACAGCCGCATTGGTCATCAGGGTACATGTATGCATAAATGATCGACTTTTTCCAATAACAAGGTTCTCTCCCTTCAAAACGTTCCTTTCCGTTTCAAAAGCATATATTTGCCTACACCTTCAATCATCAGGTTTGTCAAGTAAATTGGTCAAACTAGTACTTAGTACATAATAGGAGGACTCTTATAGTTACACTGTTTCCTATCTGTAAATACGCGCACTTCTCGGCACATTTCATTAGTTTTAGAGCTGCTTATCACTTTGTGGTTATTCACTTGCTCATTTCAGATCGCCCCGCGTATCACTAAATATATCAAAACTCAATTCTGCCGGCTATAAAATCGATTCGGGCACTGCAACATTGGCCACAGCCTCAAAAATTCATAATGCGTCGGCAAGTCTTTCAAAACCAGAGGAAGTTTTCGTTTCCTCCTTGGCTAAGCCTTCACGGGGATCCTTGAATCTCCTTCGACACTTGGAGGCTGCCCATGAATCCGGTTCGGAGCCTTCGGATATTGCTCGTAAACCCTCCATTGTACCTGTTCCTCTGCCTAAACCGAAATCGGATGAGACTTTTGCCACGTTTTTCAAAGGTGCAAAAGAGAAGGTGAGACCCATGATTTAGGCTTTTCTGCTAGAATTTTTACTGTTTAGAGATAGTTTGAATATTTTTTCTCCTTTATAGAAGATTGAAATTCATTTAGCAAGTAGATTTCTCCTGGAAACCATTTGCTCGATTAAGAAATTGTTACGAATCATTAGAGACTGATGCAAAGACCTTAAAGTAACTTTTATTCGATAGTGAAACTACATCAAAGACGTGACTAAACTACGCTAAATACAACTTCATAGTACTCGAATGTTCCTTCTAAGACTAACAGAAGACGACAGCCTTTAATTGATGAGAGCATCGAGAGTTGAGTTGCACATACGTAGTAGACAAGTGGTAATGAATGGGTGAACGAGGAAGTAGTAGGAAAATGAAATGTGGGGGGAAGAGGAAGACATCAGTACTGTGGGTGGGGGGGGGGGGGGGGGGGGGGGGGAGGTGGCAATACGGAGTGTGAGGAACAGGCAAAAGGAGGTATGTTTGCGTGGCCTTTTTCCGGTTGACTATTATTTCAGTAGAGTGGAGTTTGACATTATTCAGTAGTTAATATCAGATTCCACTTATAGGCGTTCTCCGCTGTTCTATTATTAATAATGTATATATCTATACTCGCACGTATGCGCATATTCGGGCTAATTTTATCGGTTCAATTTCATGAACCAAGTCAATTTTTTTCAAAATTCTCGAAGCTTCCTCTTTCTCCTTATATTTAGTTACCAACCGAACCGAAACCCCAACTGGCTAGGAGTCTCCAGACTACTGGTCCTTCTATTTCCAAGAACTTCATTGACTTGGGTCCTGTATCGATCCCCTCCAAGGCACCTACTTCGAGGCAATCACTACCGCCTATCCGATCACCACTCGACGCTGCCCGACGACGAGCTGTGAGTTTGGTTAAATCTAGAGGTGGTATTGAAGGTGTTCTGCAGGCCGACAGAGAGAAGACACGTAAGAGGATTTCTGAGGCTGTTGAAAAATCATTTGCAAAAAGAGCTCGGATTTGGTAAGTCTATGGTTTGGGAATTTGCCTCTCAATTGTCCTTTTGCGAATTTGACATCTACCTTGACTTGTATTTTTTAGACTAATCGAATTTCCAACTCATGTGTATTTAATCAGTTGGATGCTATTAAATTTGTTAACTTAGTTGGAGCTTAATTCTGGCTTTTTCTGATGTGAGTGGCACGGGCTGCAATCTGATGAGTTGACTAAATTTCAGTACTTTTAATGTTGTGTTTTTATAAATCTATAAGACACCTTGGAATTCAATGTCTAACTGGTATCATTAATCCTGTCAAGAACATGCAGTGGACCACACTATGCATAACTCTCACCTTTTGCGTTTTAATAAAATAAATGTACAAGATCTTTAGGTCATCGCGTGTTTTTGACATTCTTTTAGACATTTTTTCTTGTCAAATGCTGTTCTTGTGGTGAAATTTAACCGATTATCTCTTCTATGGGAGTAACTATGCGAAAAATTCACGTGAATCTCCGTTGCTAACAGCCTTCGGGTAGTAGTCAGTACTATTACGATACTTTAACCACTAATATTTTGAACGCTTAAATGAGTTACCTAAATCACAATTCGATTGAATTGTGAATAAGCATCGATTGAATGCTACCTTCTTAGCTTGCCTTATTTTTAACCATGATAATGCAAGATTTGGTTGAACATAGACTCGTTCTTTCATAATCGCTCATTCCAAATTAATATTAATATGCAACTATATTGGGTTTGTTTTTAGATTTTTATATGAACTAGCGTTCTCCTCATGTAGTCCTTAGCCTCCTTGTGGGGTACTTACCTTAAGTGAACATGCAAGCAGTTGTGTGCTTCTATTATTCACCCATCCCTGGTTTTTCAATTATAATATTTAAATTTTTTTAAATTTCACAGTCCACTTGACCAAACTCCCGGCTCCTCATCAGTCTCTAAAGAAAACCTGAACCCAGCGTCTCAAATGACTCCCGAGACATCTCACAAAGCTGCGTCTTTAGATGATCAAATCAAGAGGAAGCGAGAAGAGCTTGCCAAATTAGTTAGTCAGGGGTCGAGACATCACGAGTTAGTAGTTGCTAACGAAAACAATGCAACTAACTTGATGCTTTCTCGACTTGAAGCTCGTGATCAAATCGAGGAGAAATTACTCAACCAACACGAACAAGAATGCCAAATCGTTACTTGCTTAGATGTGAGTTCTTTTCAATCCTTTGTTTTCAGTTATTTATGAGGTTAACCATTATGCGCTGTCCACCTGCTTATAGTAGATACTAGGTTAATGTTGGAAGAATTCAGCTATGGGGAAGTATTGAGAATGCATATTCATGTTTTGCTTATTAATTAGCGTAACCTTAAAAGCTGGGGTTTCAGAAATCGTGAACTAACCTTCCTTTTTTAGCTCATAAAACATCTCGAGTTCATATGTTTATCGTTTTTGTTTGAGGTCCTAAAGCTCCTCTGAGGGAGAAACTCACTTTTAGTCTGTCTCTGTTGATAAGTATCATCAGCCAGTACTAGTGGTGGTTCAATTCTTGTGCAGTATAAGGAGTTGTAGTGTATAATTAATTTCGGTTTTTATGCCGAATTTTTTGTGTTGCTTAATCGAGATACCCCTGCTGCTGTTCCTCCATGTCAATTGTATCTTTGCATGCCTCTGACTCTTTATCTTATCCAAGAAGGAACCTAACGCTCTAGGTTCCCCCGCAGAACGCCACATGTGGCTCCCTCAATACCACTCTGTCCATTCCCATCTTATTTGTTAATAGGGATCGATAGAATCTACTCTGGACAGTAAATCCTGATCGATCTCCCCCTACTATATGGAATCGAATTAGTATCGTCTGATGTAGCGTACACACGTGCCATCTATGGGCATGAATTGGTATCGTCATATATATATATATATATATATATATATATATATATTTACGATGCATTCTATTTTACTTAAAATAATCCTGTATTTGGGCTTTCTGTCTAATTAAAAATCCTCCTCTCCCTTCCACCCTTGTCTTAGAAACTTTAATCAAACTAATGCTCACGCAGTCAATAGTCCTCTCTCCCTCCCTCCTCATTCTATCTCACACTATTTGAATAATGCTCAGTGCTGCTTTGCCAATAAGCTGCTTCATTTCAATTCCCATTCTCCTCACTGTGCTTTATACCATTTGGGGTAACAGGGAAAGGCAGCAAAAGCGTTCAACACACGTATATGTACACATACACACACACACATATGAATACGGTTCCATTAGCGGTAATTGTTTTTTTCTCGCCTCACTTTGGGAATACTCTAAATGCTTTCCATGCTAAGAGATGGAGTGAGTTAGAATGATCTAATTTCTCATTTGGAGAGTGTGCAATTATTTAGCGTAATTTGGTGATCATGATTTTTTCTCTTGCTCCAGTGCCAATGTCAGTCCATGCGTGTTGGGAAGAATTGTCGAAAGGAGGGTCACAAGTTGGAGTTTTCAACGGGTATTCGACGATTCTTTGCTTGCCGAAACTGCAAGACTCGAACAGTGACTCTGCATCGATATCCTAACTTGGAGTGCAAGTAAGTTGTTTGTGAGACGATTTTCTGATATATATTCGAATACTTGTCACTGGTATATTGTGTTTTTTGCTTCTGATGTATCTTAACCGTGGCAATTTTATTTACTGGTTGGCGTCCTTGTCCTTGCAGCTTCGTTTGTTCTGAGTCTGGTGAGATAATCATTAACAAGTCTCAAAAAACACAAGTCCGCTTTTAGCCTTTTGCAGCTTTAAATCTATAAAAATGTATAAATGAGTACATGCCTTCCATTTGGTTAACTTTGAATTTGCTTTAGATAAAGTCGAAGTATTGCTTCTTATAAATAACCAATGCCATCTCTCATGAGCTTACTTGTTGCAATCATTGATTTCATCTGACCTGATCCATAATTCCTTCAAAAAAGCCCTACAATTTGGGATTAGCTTCTTAATCGCATCTATTTTTCATCCCCTTTAAATGCTATGGGAAATAGGAATGCATGGCAATTTCCCTTTAACGTTATTAAGGGCAGTATTCTCGTCATTTCAAAGTTTCTCGAGATAGTGCAATTTCATGGCTCAATTTTATTCTCCTAAAGAATTAAAAAGACATTAAATTTGCTGCAATTGAGCCGTTTTTATTCACTCTCTCGCACATTAACTCATTAGGTGGTCTCTTCACACTTTATCCCAGATTTATCTTCCCCCCCCCCTTCCCCCCATCCCCCTCCCCACCATTTTCCTTCAAAGAACGCGGTCTCAGTGACCCACCACCCACCTATCTACCAACGCACGGATTTCACTTCCTCTCACCTTTCAATCTTCCATTTTCTATCTGAAGGTGGTTATTTCAATCGTTTTGATTACGCTGCCACTCCCCTTTTTTTAGAAACTGTGGTGGATCGTTGTTTGAAAAAGCTGGTGCGATCGCCGTAAGTTACTCTGAACGATATGTTTTGCTTTTCCGTGACTCAGTAATTTTGTCCTTCAACCTCTACACCTAATTCTGGTTCTTTTTTACCCTTAGGAGCGGAAGGGTCCAAAACTGGCCGGTGAGAAATTGGTCATCCGTGGAATCGAAGAAAAATTTCTCTCTTGAATCAATGTGTGCGTTTGTGTGTCTATGTATAGTATGAAATTTTATAAATCTCCCTCCCCTGTTTTCCCCCCACATTTTATAATAAATTATTTTTATGTACTATTATTACCTACTCTTATTTCGCTAACACTTTGGTTTTAGTTGCAGTTAGCGTCTATAAAAGAGTTCAACTTTTGTCTTGACGTCCTGTCACACCTCCTTATTTGAGTGTTTAATGAAGTAATTTAAAAGCCAGTCCTAATTTCAATTCGGGAATACTACTTAAAGTCACTTTGTTATCACCATATTCCCAAGTCCGTTAACTTAAGTGCCACTGACATTTAATTTGGGTCTCGCATTCTGTCTCACCTCTGTTAACAGGCGTGCGCGTTATAAACTGTCGTTTATTGGACGTGAAATGAGAAGTTTCGTATTCAGCGGGGACACAGTCTGCGTCATCCGTTCATTCATTTGTATATGGGCGGTAATATTCCCAAACACTCATTTTAAGGATATTTAATTCTTAAAACAAAGATGTATGCGCGAATCTGCACTTTCAGGGTCAACTTTTAGATGAATTTGAACTGTTCCCATTTGCTTGGAAAGCTATATATACACTTTACATTTTACACACAATTAAACCACTCGTACAGTAGGAAAACATAATTTTATATTTTTAGGAAGTGAAGGTTAATTTCATATGATTAGCATTTATGACAACTACAAGGTGGAATTCGAGAACATCTTTACATTACTCGTTCATAATAATTGTTTGGTGGAGTTCACAAGTGTAAGAGAGCATAATAGCGATAAAGTAAATGTCCTTTCGGAAATAACGGAAGGGTTAATCTGCTTTCATCTCATATCATGTCGACACTATTTCTCTTAAGTGTTTCGCTCTTCCAACTAGATTCTGGAGTAGCCATCACACGATGACCTGTTAGAGGTGATGTCTGGTTCACTGGTGTAGGGTACATATGTCTTTCCATTGGATTTTGGGTTCGTTGAAGAGTCCTGTAGGCAAAATCCGGTGGTAGAGCTACTGTCTGTGGCTGGTAAGGTGAGTTTACGACCGGTGCAAGTCCTGGTAACTTTACCACCGATTGTTGGAAACTAGACATGTCGTTTATCGGTTTGTTGGTGGCATCGTTTTCTACAAAGGTACGTTACGAAACCATTGGCGGGGGATTTTATTACCTGAGAATGAGATTAATCTACTTACTATTTGTACGGTGGTCGGCTTCGGACCCAGGGATAAGGATGCTGCTGTTCTGATCTTTGCGTTGTTGGTGGCAAAAGTAGAATGTTGCTGTGAAGATTATGTTGAGAAGGAATAGAGAGAGCCCCACGACAATTACCAACAGGAGAATGCTTTTATCCTCATCCTTGATTTTTTTGGATAGCGTCTTTAGAGGAGTATTGTACCATTGGGTCTGATTATTGGCGTAATACAATTATCTTTTAAAATAATTACAATTCTCAAGGCCATTTTCTACAAAACCCTTTTGGGACTGAAGAAAGGGTATATTGTCTTTAGAAACTATCAACTGGCCCGTTCATTCTGCTAATATTATCCCATATAGCCTCAGACCTGTCATTTTTATGCTTCTGTCATTGCTGTGCTACTATTTGGGAGTAGCTTTCAAGACAATCGGAGCAATTGTGTTGACCTAGGTAAATAGAAATTTGAGTTTTCTGTGCCTTCATGTTTACATAACTCCTGACCCACACTCTAGGTTGTCCGATGCCAGAAGAAACCTGACACTTGAAAGTGCGTAAGTTTAGAGAATAGACGTTTGCACTACTCTCGTCAGAGGATTTACTCAGTATAATCTTGTGTTTCGAATGCGTCCAAGCGAAACATCTCATTCACTTGCATAGATGTCTTGCAAAAGAAGTGCAAAATAGGCATTTGACTATTTTGCTACTACGCTTAAGTAATTTCCATTGTTCTGTTAGCATTCATAAGCTCAAACCTATTGAATACATACGCTGCCTGGAAATTAATTCATTTAAAGTTTTTTTCAAAGAAAAAACTGTAATTTATCTGGGGGGGGGGGGGGTTTGGCCAATCTTACTGTCTCATTGCCATGTTTCTTAACATAATTAAAGAGTTCCACACTAACCTGGTTAGCATCGTAGAAGGAGGGAAATTCGACAGACTCGTTTGAGGGAGTAAACGATCTGTCACTAATTGCCGTAGGTTCCAATATTTGTCTTGACGATGGTGTCGTAAGTCTGTTCACCTTGGCATCCTTGTATGGTTTCATCGGATGTGCCACAAAGTGAGTTACAGGGTTGCTCTTAACGGTGGATGACTTCCTATTAACGGCTGCAATTTTCGGGAAAATATCTGTCCAAAATGTTGCGAATTGCTTTCGATGATCTGAAACCACTCCAATCAAATCCTCAGGGGTTGGAGATGTGCTGAAACCGATTGCTGGTTTAACTAATGGCAATACAAGAATAAAGACGTTAATATCAGAAAAATTACTTGTTGAAATTTGCTTTTAGGACTAGCTATATGCTCCTCCTTAAGTATTAATCTCAAAGACTATTTTTATTTAATGCCTACTAAACAAAATGCTACGCCTTTGTTGATTGAAGAAGTGGAAGTACCAGCATACTATTGTAATTTCCCATTTCAATTAACTTGAACTATAGAGACGGGGGGGTGGGGGTCAAAGCTCTGAATATTCCTATGCTTTGCAGTTGAGAGAGAGAAGTAATTTCGCATTTTCTCGAAGATGAACTCCACTTCCTCACGATAATGACCGAGGGTTTCACACAAAAAAAACGCACGCTGACGTTATTTTGCTAATTGATCATGGTTTAACTTTGATTATTGCATGACTTCCACCTTCTATTTATTCAGAATAAAGGCGTCAAATCACTTGCTCTATCTACTCCCACCTACTAGCCAGTAGTTAATGCGGAGTGAAAGGAAGTTGAGTAGGGGGGGGGTGAGAGGGAGGGGGCATACTCACCCATTTTCAGGCCTAATTCATTTCTTATACTGAATGGCGGCCACGATTTCGATAGATTCTCGGCGATATTTGGAATCTCGAAGTGTTTATTTGGGTCACTAGGAAGAAATAATAATGGAGCACCTCATTTTCAAGATATTCTACTCACCATTGCTTTTGGGGGGAAATCACTCTTGTCAGTGCTTTCAAGGTGGAATTATGGAAATACAAATGAATATAATTATCAGCTTTCCTATTCAACACAATATCGAAAGCTCTGGTTTCTTAAATCTACTTTATAACCACGATACGCTGCTTAGATTATATGCAGCACATAATTTTGATGAGATGCCATCAGTATTAAGTGAATTCAGTTGGTTAACTTGCCTTCAAAATGTGGATTTCTGGAGTTGATACAATTCGATTGAAAGATTCACCTAAAACCCTAATTTAAAGAAATTTATTTGTACATTTGATCTTGAAACATGCTGATGTTTACAAATTCGTGATTAAGTGATTTGGTTGAAGTGCGCCATTGGATGTATTTTTGTATACAAGTCTAATTTCATTATCCAACTATTGATAAATGATTCCAATAATGCGAACTTTCGCTTGAAAGTGATCGCTTCTATGAACTGTGATTTCATACTTTTGCCTGAATACAAACTCTCTTCTAAGTAATAATAAGTTAACTTAAAGTTTTTTCCAACTTAATTTCTGAATATTTTACTTTTACGACATACTAATGAATGTGGCAACTTTTCTTGAAATGAAGTTTACTACAAATGATTTGGGTAAGCTTATAAACTGACCCATAATGTATGAAGTTTACGATATACTGAATAAGGCTCTGTGAGAGACGTCTAGTGAGACTGTTTCTTAGATGAAGGTTTGAAATGAAAGGGGCTCCGAGTAGCAAGTTGAGATCGTCACCATATCCAGCCTGCGAGAAGTGTATCACATGTCTTAAAGGCTCCAACTGCGGATCCAACTCTGAAATCTGCCTTTTTTGTCCGCTTTCGTGTTGTCTCAAAGTAGCAAGAGCAGGACTCCAAAATAATGCGTCCGTGTATATTTCATTTATCTAAAATGACAATCTGTAGCGTAAGTGAAAATCCTGGGAGGTAGGTGCCTTAATTGGTTTTTGCGAGCATGTTGAATGTAGCATATTGTATGGACCTATTGTGCATGCAAACCAATTTCCACCCAAGATGTAACTTTATAATGCCCGATCCGGGGTGTGCGATAGACTTACCTCCACGTGGTGCACCCTGGGCAACGTATACTCATACGGCAAAAAAGTCTATTAACCGGGAGTTGACTTCTCACTTCAAACTACCATCACCCCAACTGTATGTCATATTCGACTACTTTCACAGTACTCACCTTACCTTTTTCTCTACCTTTGTGTCTGTCTATCTCTTTTACATCTGTGAATCGCTCTTCTGTTCCCCACCCCTCGACTTTCTGCTACTTTGATGAACCTTCCCTCTGTGAAGCCCGAAGTCAGCTAAATGGCTAATGATAACCATCAAAACGCCTGCCATTTGATATAAATATAATGTCCGATCCTAAGCCTTTTTGCATTAGTAATTAAAAATATAATCTTAAGGCGCATACAATAATAGTTAATCGTGTTGGCTTGCGTGATAATGATTATATTGTCGCCATTGAAGCTAAAATTTTTCTTTTAAATACAATCCAAACTTTCCCAATAAATTGCGTAAAACCTGCAGCTATTTCCAAGGCGCCATTAAATTCGACTAATGATGGAATGGCAGAACGTGAGTTTCTTATCAGTAAGCCTATGTGATTTCACAGCTCTTACCAGGAGGGGTGTTTGACGACCCTCTTTGAAATGGACTG